AAATTAACGATGCCATTCTGAAGTCCATGATGGCACCCATCATGCTCAGAAAAAGTCGCAAATACCCTACAATATGTAGATGACGAAAATCGATATTCGACGCCATTTTGCAATCCTAGATGGTGTCCATCAGGTTTCAGAAAAAGTGTCAAATACCCTACAATATGGGTATTTTCGGAACGGTGACGCCATTTTGGAATACAGGATGGCTGCCTTCAGTTTTCAGAAAAAGTGTGAAATACCCTACGATATGGGTATTTTCGGAATGATGCGTAGATGCCGAAAATCTATATTCGACGCCATTTGTCAGGTATTTGACACTTCTGAAATCGGAAGCCGTCATCTTGGATTTCAAAATAACATCGGATATCGATTTATTTATTGATTGGTTTATGACAGTATTTCCTACATTTTTTTTAAACTGGAAGCCACCATCTTGGATTTCAAAATGGCATCGATCATCAATTTCCGGCTTCTAGACGTCATCCCGATTCCAAAAATACCCGTATTGGAGGGTAAACAAACCACCCAACAATGATATATTAGACATCCACGTGTACAGATCTATGCGCATCCGCTTAATGAACCGAGTGAGTCATCAACAAAAGTCAGAAAAACTGCCCAAATTTGGATCGAACCAGCTTCGCATCAATGCGAAAGTATGTTCATTTGACAATGAAAGACGAAATAAACACGAGTCAAGCCAAAACAAACAGCATGAAAACTGATCGAAAGTGGTTCTGTTGATGTTGAAGGGGATCTGCTCGAAGAGAAGACAGAATGAATTTCAATTGAAAGTGATGGTTGACAGCTTCGTCGTCGGTTGACGATTTTTGATTGAAAGTGACTTTGTTGGTCCCTGACCGGGGGATCCCAGCGGAAGATCTAAAAAAGGTTTAAAAACATTATATGAAATTCAGAGTCAGAGAATTCCAATGCAATTCTAAGAAAAATACCAAGGAAATCGAGGGTTCAATTTTAAAGAAATTCAGAGAGAATTTTGAGGATCTTTCCTTGTTTATTTCAACGGTTTTTAATGAAGAATATAAATAAATCTGAGTAGAATTTGAAAAGCTTTCATCGTATGAACATTCTATGAAGAATTCTAGCGAATTTTAAATAAATTCGATGCAAATCTTACGATGAATTCTAATTGTTAGGTTCTGCATAGAATTTAAGAACAACTGATGCCTACTGATTTTCTATCTTGATTTTAGAGGAATTCTGAATTGAACTAGGGAACTACGTTAGAAGTGTTAGGATCCTATTGTTTTGTATGGAGACCTCCATACAAAACAATAGGATCCTAACGCTTCTAAAGTATTGCAACAATAGGACTGTTTCTGAAAAGAAATTATGTAAAAGAAAATTCATGGAAACATTTCAAAAGGATCCTGTAAAGACATCAACAGTGTATTTCAAAATTGAGCGTGCAACTGTCCTTCAATTTTAGAAAAAACGGCTCTTAGAGCACAAGATATAAAGATCCGTCTGTACATTTTTGACTGCTAAGTCATCATACATTTATCAATTTTTGGTAAAGTATTGGTCACTTTCGATCGAGTTTATAGAAGGTTAGAACTGTTTTAGAAAAACGCTTTTTTTCTAGAAAAATCCTTATCTTATGAACCTAACTTTTAGAAATTTTGCTCTTTTTTAGTCATTCATATGCCACTATTTTTGATAAAATTAATCCACCAGGTAAATAGTTGAAAATCTAGCGTTTTACTAAAATAAATCTAACTTCAAACCGGCTCTTCCAATAAAGTCCAAAACTATAGCGATAAATCAATAAACATCTGTTCAACCACCAGCAAAATTTAAAAAATATATCTGTTCACTATGTTTCAAAAAATTGTCCACTCGGGTGTATGCTAAATTTTGCGATACACTGTATGTAAATTTTCAAGGTAGTTAAAAATAAACATATTTTGGGTCATTTTTTTAACTTTATTTTAGAAATTTTTGGCCATAGGCTAGTTCATCTCTTATATTTTGGGACATAAATAGGTCATTATGCAGATTTAAACAATATTTATTTGGCAGTTTGGCAGAAATTTCAAGTTGAGTTAAATTACTCATTTGACCTAGTCGGAGAGGTCGGCACGGAAACGAATTTTGTTCATTTAAATCAAAAATATAAATGTTCATTCTTTAAGCATATGAATCATTCAAACTAAATTAAAAACATGTTTGCATCAACAATATGTATTTTTGAATTAAATTCAAAAGCATGTTTAATTCAACAATAAATAATATGAGTAAACTAGTTTTAGCGTGTCATTCCTCATCTTTTCTTCTTGTTTACATTCGGCAGAATTTAGCTCCAGCTATTCCTCGGAACTAAACCAAAAACGACCCGCAGGCGGCGAAACCGAAGTCATCGATCTAGAAACCCACGTAGGCAAGCATCCAAATAATGTTCCAGCTCGACAAAATTAGCGGAAACCGAGGCGGAACAATTCAACGTCACTCCATCGTTTTGCTGATCGCCATATCAACCTCCCCCATCGAAAAAAACGAAAACCCGAAATGGATTCTGAATCTATTCCGGTTCCTTCCCCTTCCCCGTAGAAAGAAGCCGATACCGTGGAGGCACCATATTTGATCCTGGACCAGGATGCCCCTACTCACAGACCACCCTTAATCGACTCCGAAAATAGGTGGAATTTAGATGCTTTGTCTGCAGACATTTTTTCGAATTATTTTGCTTATAGCGCACACCTTCTAAAATAATTTAAAAACATGTTTGTTTGTTTTAAAAATGAACAGCATGTTTAAATAAACACATATATTTTGTTCCCATAGTTGTTATATCATTCAAAAATATTCACGGTTTTTTCAACAAAAATATTTTTAAAATAAATGTACCATTATTTTTATTTTAAACATCGATATCACATGACTTCTAACATGGAATAAGTTTAAATGAACCTAGTTTATTTTTGTGGCCAGAACAAACTGAGTTTACTTTTAAATTTACCTCAAATATGTTTGTTTCGACGATATTTTTTTCTACGTGGGTCTAATCACATTCGGCCTAAAAGCATTCGACATAATAGCACTCGGTCAAATAGCGTTCCTGTTCAGGCCTAATCCTTCCCCTTTTAAAAATAAATTTGTTCTCCCCTATTTTGAAACCTGGCTACACCCTTGTCTGTCTGAAAATGATCAACTTGGATTCTTACCCAGTTTCCTTTTCATAGATATTTATTATACGTTGGAATCCTTGAAAATAGAGATGAAAATTTAGTTTTTTTTTATATTTATAAAATCAGTAACGTCACGTAACCTGACTTTTACCTGTGCACCATCTTTAGAACCCAGATGTCATATTTATTCTTGAATCGGTTGCAAAATGCATAGATTACTCGATATCTGTCCATTTCAAGCAATATTTTGATAATTGTTTATGTTTCGAGATTAATTGCATATGTACATTGAGGTTAAGGCGACGCCACAGGATAAAATCAAACTAACGTACAATAAAGAAACGCACACAAACAAGTACAAACAAATCTAATTCACCGCTAGAAACAACTGAAGTATGAAAATTCAGCCCTACGCATACCATGATGGTGTGATGTGATGTGATATGCGGGGCTCGGTGGTCTTAGAGAGACCGTTTTTGCTTACAAAGCAGAATATAATGATTTTAATCTCAAGCCCGTTCACATTCCAGATTCGTTAGTCACTTTCATTCTTAACTTGAACCCATCGCCAAAACGAACCCTGCTGCCATCCCAAATCTTTTATCCAACATCTCAGTGATTTATCTTGCAAGTGCAGAGTATTCGTCGGCTTGTAACAAATCGAGTATCACGTCAACACACTTCTACTCACTCGAACAAGGCCGGCGCTGGTGTTACCTATAATAAAGTTTGAGATCCCCAGTTTTTACTCATTTAGGATAGCGTAACATTTGAAAACGGCACAAAAACTTTTGTAAACAAAACTTCCACGCGAACCAAAGAAAGCCCATGCAAACAATAGAGCTAATAAACTATGGAGCAAGAATAGCGCTGCCGTCGCTGTCGAAACATCTTTTCCTTACATTAAATAGGGACACAACTGTCAAAGCGAGAAAAAACTATGCAGTTTGACAGTTCTGTACCCGGTATTATCATAGAGGTAACTCTACTAGAAAGTCCCGAAGAAACGTGCTCAACTTTTTGGCTCAGCTCTGGTACTCTCTTCGGTCCCAAGCTAATCGATTCACCTCTCGAAACATAGGAAAATCCACTAACCCCTCATTTTATCTGTCAAACTTTCATAGCGAATCAAAACAAACATAGTGTAGCGCTATTCTTACTCTATAGTATATTAGCTCATATTATGCAAAACCAAGGATAATTTTCTCTACCTGATGATATTGTTCGAATGCGTGAGCGTACTTTGGCGCGTAAAGTGCCTTACAACCTTTGTTTACAAAAGCTTTTGTACCCTTTTCAATTGTTCCGCGAGATATGCATCCTCTGTTGGTTCTCTGTGTAATTGGGATCTTTAATTTTGAAAAATGTATTGGTGTTTATATATCACCTGAAAGAACTTCGTTTTCTGAGCACAGCGATATTTTTTTCGAACCCACGCACTTTCATCTTGATTTTTAAATCAAGATTGAAAACAAAATAAAAACTTTACTCTTTAACACTAAACTAACAAACTGACAGATCGCTTCCATATAAAGTGACACCGAGGGGCGCTAATAAGGTGATTTTTGTTAATGTCCGATTACATTAAAATAGTTCCAGTTTACCAATAATGATGAAATTTTGGGTTTAGGTTCCACTTTTAATGCAGATTACGAATATGCATTTACCTCAATACCCTTAAAGAACCTAATTATACTTCAAATCGCCTGATTTTAAGCGTGAAATACCAAGAATCTTAATTATTTCTAAACTATAAAACGTCTTTAAAATGAGTGTGACTTTTTGTACCAAATTTGTTTGAGCTCTTACGTTTACAAGTTCCCTGCCAGTAAAATTAATGCTTCTCACCTTTTCCAAAAGTTTAAACCGCCGTACTAGACCTTTCACAGCATTTGATTGCTCACGCCGTCCACATTAGTATTCCGAAGGCATTCGTTGAGCCGCCTTTTCTCCTATGGACAAAATTCCTCGTTATATGTGAGTCGTACCTCAACGCCAAACTTTCCTCCTTCCTAACAGTAAACATACAGTCGATATCCGATGACAAAAGTGCGCTCGCTGTTAATTTATTCTTTTCTTCATTCGCTTCTCGTTTCCACTCCTTTTTGATCACTAACAGAGATTAGTAGCCACTAGCAGCAGGTAGCATCTATAATTCCACTACCGATGCGGATGAGGCACACACCATGTTTTCAACTCACTTCACACGCACTTCCTTATCCATTGATCTTCGAATCGTCCATCTCTCCTTCTGGGCAGCTTCCAAAAAATAACAATCGTACTTGATTTCACTCAATAAATGCCTTCTCTGCTCTTCTTCGCTCGAACAATCGGGGTCTTCCGCATGCCAAAATTGTAAATATCACAATGAGTATAAATCAAACATGAGAGTAATTGTTACATATATTCACTGAGTAAATGGTTTTATAGTTTCGGGTTTTTTGCTCGATTGCTTCCCATTTAAGACGGAACAACATTAATATCCAGCAAAAAAGATCACTGCTGATTGCTACGACTTATTAAATTACGTATAGAAAGTCTCAATATTAAGCCCCCGCGCCATTCAGACTGTTTTATTCACGATCGCGAGTTGTTTCCTCACGAGACGAAAATAAAAAGCTTGCTCCGAGTGCGATGCCCAAGTTTGAGACTGTTTCTAGAAAATAGATAAACTTTGATTTAATTGAAAAATTTAAATTGAAGTGCTCTTGTGAACGTTCTTAAAATCTTAAAAAAAAACTGTCAAAAACAATTCACAAACAATCCCGCTACATGGACACAAGTCGCCAGTAAAACTCCTACAACAAACGGTTTGATGAGTAATAAAATGTACATAAATAAAGTTCAAACTACGAGGACCGCGAAGCAGTTGAAAGGTACGACCACAGACGATTTTTGTTGCTACAAACAAACTTATACTACAAAAAGAACTCCGAAAAAAATAAATACGTCTTGCTCTGCAGACACGAACCATAAGCGACGAACCCCCGCAGTGGTGGCGTGCCGGGTCGAGACGGCTAATACATAGGTGTAACAGTCGGAAGAAGTGTTAGTTTGTTTACTTAAATGAACCATGCCCATTTTGTTATGGCATGTTTGCTATACGAAATGCGCCTCGTGTTTATTAGCGAATTTCACATCAAAGATTGATTAATTGAGTAGGAAATCAGTTTGGCACGGCATTTGTGACCAGCATACACCTTCCGGTAGTATGAAACAGGTCAAAAACTGTTCAAATCCGCAGATAAAATTTTTGTTTTGAATTTCTGTATAGCAAAATAGTGAACTTTTCGTGAACATTAACGGCAAAGAACTCACCAACACTGGGAGACTGTGAGTTCCTGCCCACCTGTTCATTTTCCATCGTGGGTCGAGACGGCTAATACATAGGTGTAACAGTCGGAAGAAGTGTTAGTTTGTTTACTTAAATGAACCATGCCCATTTTGTTATGGCATGTTTGCTATACGAAATGCGCCTCGTGTTTATTAGCGAATTTCACATCAAAGATTGATTAATTGAGTAGGAAATCAGTTTGGCACGGCATTTGTGACCAGCATACACCTTCCGGTAGTATGAAACAGGTCAAAAACTGTTCAAATCCGCAGATAAAATTTTTGTTTTGAATTTCTGTATAGCAAAATAGTGAACTTTTCGTGAACATTAACGGCAAAGAACTCACCAACACTGGGAGACTGTGAGTTCCTGCCCACCTGTTCATTTTCCATCGTGGGTGCTGGTGGCTTTGTTCGTATTGGAAATTGAAACCAAGCGCGAGAGAGAAAAGCTCAACTTCGACGAGGTGAATTTCTGAAGGAATGAACTTCGGCTATGGATGAACACGAAACTTTCAGTTGACTTCTTAAGAGAGCTTTTTATCAGTGAAATAAGCATATATTTTAATAGACAGGTATCTCTAATTAACGACCTAAAAGATGAAAAACGTTAATTCAAAGAAACGCATCGATTTGATTCTAACAGGTGACCTTTAGTCGTTATTAAGTATGAACTCACTGTATACATATGTGTTTATTTCACTGATAATTTAAACATAAACCGTCACGTAATGCAAAAAGGAAAGGCTCAAAGTATTAGTGTAACGATGATAAGCAAAGCACGTGACAGCGATACGCACTAAGATTTGTTAAAAAATATCAATCACGTTTTGTAAAATATGGCATCGAAGCACGTCCAAGTTGTGCAATAATTTATTTGTATGCTAGACACATTTACTTTGCTGTTATCATACGTGGACATGATGCATATTTTCAGGTCTCAACAAGATGCTGCCAAATCCTTCCTTTCCAGGTTTACGTTAAGGAGAAATTAGTAACAATTTTGGCTTCATGAGGGTTCTGAAGACCATGATTTAGACTTTTAGAATGCTTTAAAACCTTGATAAAACTTGCAATGTTACTTGGGAATCAATTATGCAACTACTACTTTTATACAGATTATTTTGATTAAAGCGGGAAAAGATTACCTATTCACAAGAGTGTATCAGTTAAATCAGCATATTTGGCTATTTGTAATGTCAGCGTCTTCTTTTATGCCATTTTTGAGAAACTAACTGTTGCCATACGAATATCCCGCCTTCACGGCACAGTACATAACCTACACTTCCACCGCTGCATCAAAACGATAAGTCAGGAGAAAAAAGGAAACACGAGCGCATTTTTGAATGTTTTTCTATTTTTCTACACACTTAGAAATAACTAATTTTACACGTGACGGAATCTATCTTTGACATAAAGGATGAGACGTAAACAAACATGTCATGTAAAATTAAGTGCTCCGTGCTTGAAAATACATTTGATTGAGCTGATTTTTGCGTCTATTATGACTCAATTTTATGTCAAAATTGACGCTCGTATATGTCAGTCTCAGAGCACCTAAATTTACATCAACTTTTCGAAGTGTGTATATCCAAATTTATGATTTTCTGCACGAACTTAAAGTGCTCTCTGTATAAAACCGCTTTAATCAATATTTTATCTGTCATCCATTTACTATTTGTGGACGCTCGTATGCACGATAAATCGTTCCACATAACCAACACTAGGCGCACAAAACAAAACAAACCGAGCGGATAAAAAACTGATCGAATAATCGGTCCGTCTGCCATATTAGCTTTCTCAATGTTTATTGATTTAAATTTAAACGCGCATGTAAATTTATAGGTTTTATCGTTGAAAATCCGATGTTCTCGATAAGTTTTTACATCACGTGGTGATATTACACTGCAAGAGAGAATCAATAGAATAAACGTGTTATTTTATTAGTTTTATCATGTTTTTATAATTTGCATGATTTTTAATGTAAAATTAAATTAAAACATAGTTTAAAGCAATGTAATTTTAAAATGGTTTTGGTTTACATGTCATGTAATATTCCTTATTTTTTGCTGTGTATCTCTTATCATCTTATGCAAGTACTGATAGTCTAGTGGACAAAGTATGGGTTTTATGATCGTAAGGTTCTTGGTTCGATTCCAGTCTAATGCTCTATTTTTTTTTTATATATTTTGGTTTAAATGCTAAACGTTAAATTCATGAGATAAGTTCATGATTTTAACTCGGATGATTCATGATTTCGAGAATATTGGGTGCGCTACGCAAACATAGCTCATGATATCATGAATATTATTCATGGTGTATTTTCATAACATGAAAATACGCTATGTTTATGAAATCATGAGTCATTTTTCTCATTTCGGAGATTGAATTTGTTCCCGTGTAGGGTGTTTCCGAAGTGCCTGTCTCATGATGGCCCAGTAAAGGCTAACTAAATGCTTAAATGCTGCACAGTAGGTCTGTCCGTTTTGATAAAGGCTGACTAAAAGTAAATTGGTACGCCCCTCGCGAGCCGCTAGCACACCTTTAGAATTGCGAATCGAAAATCTTTGACAGTGGTTTGTTTACACTTCTATAGAGAACAACTGGAGCAAGTTTGATCAAAGTAGTCGATCGCGTTCAGAAATAACGTCAAATGAAACTCAAAAGACGAAAAAATATTGTGAACAAACACCTGGAAAATCCGGAGTGGTCCGGTTCCAGGATGTCTAAAGTGCTGAAGATGCCAAAAACAACAGTTTTTCGAGTCCTCAAAACCTACAAGAAAACCCTGAGTGTGGAAAGGAATCCGCGGACCTACGAAAAAACTCGAACCAGGGATCGTCAGCTGCGCAGCAAGGTATTGAGGTGCGTTAAAGCTAACCCCGGTCTTTTGACCAGAGATGCGGCCACAGGTACAACGCCAACTTTCAAACGGTGCGGAACATCCTTGCCAGGGAAAGATACAAGTCGCACAAAGCCAGTAAACATCTAAACCGGCACATGAAGGAGAAATTCGTGGCCAAAAAGCGTGAAAAGCGGTTCTTGTACGAACGTGTTTTGACGACCCGAATAGAAATTGTAATGTAGGAAACATCAGCAGACATCTTCAATACATTAAATTTTAACGTGTATTGCTGTACCCTTAATGTATTCAGACTTCAGTCAACAATCAATACGAAACTAACGATTTTAAATTGGCTCACTACTTGACTAGCCTATTGGTCCCAAGCAAACGATTAATGTATCCAATTCTAGTCGAAATTCTATTACTACACAATGTTTGTTTTGATTCGCTATGAAAGTTTGACAGATAAAATGAGGGGTTAGTGGATTTTCCTATGTTTCGAGGGGTGAATCGATTAGCTTGGGACCGAAGATAGTACCAGAGCTGAGCCAAAAAGTTGAGCTCGTTTCTTCGGGACCTTCTGGTCTTAAAGTTACCTCTATGCTTCAGTGTAACGTCCAAGTACATAAAAATACATTAGCCTCAAACGTTACATCAGAATCAAACGTCTTGACGATGTAAAATTTGACATCAGAATACATCCAATGGCAACAGAACCAAACGTTACATTAGAATCAAACTTCATCACGATGTAATTTGTTGCACGCATAAAACAGAGGGGGGTGACACATCTAAATCTCAATTTTAGATGCTCAATAAATCTCACACTAGCGAATAAATCTTCGAAAAATCTTCTTTCATTTCTCGCATCTACTTGCATCGCGCATCATCTTTTTGCAGGAAATCTTCAAAATCGTGTTAAATCTCCTTTCTATCTACTCAGCGTACGCGCAGCTAGCCACAGCAAAACACAATATTTCCTGCATCGTAGATACACAGCAAAAAAAGTTGTTGAATATTACATCGAAACTGATGCAACCAGGTCAATCCATCGGTTGTGTAATATCACATTGTACAATGTACATCGATTTTGCGAACAAAATTACATCCATTGATGTAATATTGTATCTGCTTTTTGCTATTACATCATTATTTCATACATCAGCTGGAATTACGTTGATCGATATTACATTTTTTTTTGCTGTGTAGAGTCGTCCCCCTCGCATAAAACATCAGAATACATCCAATGACAACAGAACCAAACGTTACATTAGAATCAAAAAGTGCAGGAACTCAGTTTT